GTCTAGGTCCTTTGCAGTCTGCTCAGCGCAGAATCGTGGACGGGCGTGCTCGTGTAGGTAAGCCTGCAAATGTTCGCAGGCCGACTCCAGCTCAGTGAGATTAATGGTCAGCTGAATTAGACGGATCAGGTCCTTTTCGGCGTCCGTGATCAGCCGGTTGATGACGCCATCCAGACAGTCCGTAAAGAGGGAATTTGTGGACCGACTGAGCGTATCCTCCAGCTCCGTCCAGGACAAGTCAACATTCTCCACAAAGAGGAGGCTGGCATCGATGTAGTCGCGGATGGCCATAAAAAGTTTAGGTACCATGGGGGAAAAGGCGAGAGTCCGCGGATAGGCCCGAGCAGAGAATTCGGGACTGCAGCAGGCGAGGTAGGTACTCAGTGGGGGAACGAGGTCTTTGGAGCTGTTCAGTGTGATGGCTGTGTAGTTATCATCAGCCACGATCGCCTTGATTCTAAAAGGCGAAGTAAAACGCAAGGCAATAGGCAACACAGGCAGCAAAACAGAGGGATAGAATATAGCAGTAAACATATCATCCAACGTCTAATTTGGTAAAAATGTAGTATGTAACTGCCCCCGTAACACGCATATGGAAATAGCTTCTACTTATTCTGAATTAAGTAGTTAAGACTGCCGAACCAGAATGTTTTGAGCAACTGCTGCCGAGACAGTTCCGGTCAGATAGAGCACGTGTGAGCACGATAGCATTAGCTTTTGTGTAGACTCCAAATTGAGATACCACTGCTAAAATTGGGAAATTATACATTGACATGGACGTTCACCGGTATGTCTTCATTCTGCCTTCAGTCTATCTAAAAATCACGCTGGGTTACATGAAGAAACCCTAATTTGGGTGGAACAGCATCAGGCAAGACATTCTACAGTCGACGCTTTACACGATTTACGACCAATTAGTTCGGCTATCAGGAATGCATTGTCCCTTATAGGCCGACGCCTTAGAACCATCAAGCACAAAATAAAATTACTTTTAACGCTAGAAGCATGTTTTAAAGGTGTGCCAGTTGAAAGATCGAACAGGCTTATCATGCCTATGCAATACGTGCGTTCATCAGAGGGGTATCGATCACGTTGAGTGACCAAAGCAATCCGGGACACCATTTTAATCACTTGACTTAAATTTCGAAACTTCGCCGTAGAACTACTACCAATATTACTACTATTAGTAGTAGTAGTAGTATTGGCAGAAATGGTAGGAAAAGCAACAGTAATGGTGTGGGAAACAAAATTATTATTAGTGGTGGTGCTGGTGATAGTAGCAAGGAATTGCCGAAGTTAGACGATGTCCAGCCTTTGCGGTAACATAGCCGACGTCCAAAAAAGTACTAAAACCAAACGTGCCCACTACTACGAAATAAGTAGGTAGTTATACAAGGTAAATGGAGCTGTAGTGTAACCTATAATCTATTAGTACCACCGGTATGACAAGCTTGAAGTCTGTTTGCGGATTAAAACAGAAGAATCACACGCACGTGCAGTAACATCAAAGGAACTCACTTGTCGCGCCACTGACCAATGAGCAGGGCACTATACTGTTTCCGAATGAGCTCCAGCATTTCAGCTAGGCCGGCAGTGTGGAATCCCAGGTTGGCCATTGTATACTCAAACAGGACACTGTAGTGCTTGAGACAGAGCAGCTCGCTGTTGGTTTTGCAGCCCTCAGCGTTCTTCGTGGCAAACTGCACCAGCTTGGGCACCACGTTGGCCCACAGGTCGTTGAGGTAGGTCTGGTAGCTGGACCCAGCGCCAGGCATCGTGTGGCAGAGGTAGTCATCGATAAGGAAGAAGCCGACAAGAGTGCTGAAGAATTCGCTGTAGTTGCGGAGGCTAGCCTATAGTAACAGGGCAGAAATAGGGGAACAGCGATGGTGAGAGCAGTCAAAAACTCCCTGGCGTGTTTGCACTGCACCGAGACTAATACTTCCACTTCAACTATTACTGCCACCACAATCACAAAGAGTTGCAATGCAGCTGTGCTCTACCAAATCAGCAGCCCGACTGGCTCACAACACGCGTTTATCGCAGAGCGTCGAGTCCGCGCAAGTCTATAACTTCTACTGGGCATGCTCATGTGCGGCACATCGCAGACATACCCTTTATGCTACATCAGGTCCTGTAACCAATCCCGCTAGCGGCTGGTTGACAGGTTTGGATAGTGCATGCGAGAGGGAAAATATACTGAGGCGGGGGCCGTCCCCAAGGTAACTTACCGCACTCTTCACTAGAATTGATCTGACACGTTTAAACCTACCACGATGCGCAAGGAGTCGTGAATTGGGAGGTTACTAACGGACGGTAAAACTCGATTCTTCTCAGGACTGAGAGTGACGTTGCAATGACTGCTTCCCAATGGGACCTAATCCACGTGAAAGCTGAACCGCCCTAACAGCACCTAATCACACTAGCAGAGAACCAATTCGTACGTGTGGCCCGCGTAGACGGTCTGTTTAACTTTGTCGTTCCTACAGTACCCAGTTACATTGAACGAGAACTAGGTCTTGTATTTGGTACGCGTAGACAGTCTGTTTAGCCGTAGTCTGCCCACTATAAAATACTCCACGCACAAGGTACCAGTACTGTGACCACTCCACGGGTTATAGGGGGCGGGTGTCGTCGCTCGAGAAGGTTGAACTGTCGTCGTGCGTAGCTCAGAGTTATGGAAATGGAATCTACTGAAATTGCACTGATCGCTTCCACTAAATGTACACATCCTCCTACCACGATAAAAAAAAGCAAGTTGACGCGAGGAAGCGCACCGACCACAGCAAAATGACAATGGTTTCGTCAACAGCAAAGCCAGGCGTTTAGCTGGTGGGTATGGTCAAGCAAAGTCTTACGCCATCGGCAGTTTGAAGCGGCCCGCGTGTCTGTGTGATATGTGCGTAAGAAGTAGGTGGAAATTCTGTCTAGTCAATGCGTTAGTAAGTTTCTTGAGTCAGGCACACCAAAATTTTGAAGTTGAGTCAACAACATGCAACTGAACTTCATTAGACTCAAACCCAAGTGCAATTCATCACCCGTCGGTCGAACAATCACCATAACGAAACGGTTACAAAAACGGTGTGGGCAGTGAGGGTGTGCGAGAGGGAGCTTGATAGACGGTGTGCTTGTCTGTTCACATAATAAGAATTCTCAATAATATTTCTCGAAAAAATCTAACAGGGAAAACCTCTCGTCTGGCTGCTGAGTTCGTGATACTAGGGCAACCTTCTGTTTCCCGCAAAAACTGAGCGGAGTTTTGACATTTTGGGTTAGGATAAATTAGGACGTAAATGATTACACGGGGATGGGAAAATAGTCAAATTCTTGCAGCCGAGTAAGTAAGTATGCAAGGCGAGAAAAAGCGACCTCCCCCATTGTGTGCAGTGGGTACAATAGCTTTGCAGAGATCCAAAATAAACTGTTGCCCATAGACATTAAATGTACTGATGTATACCGCGAACAGAAATTAACTTTTAAAGAAATTACAAAGCTGAGCCTCAAAACTCGGTACATCAACCAAAAAACAAACAGGGAAAGCGGGGGAGCCACCGGTGAGCCGGACCCCTCGCAGCTGTATAAAGCAGCAGCAGAATACCGGTGAAACACGTGCCTGGGCTTTTTAGCTAGTACCTGAGCTGGTAGTATGGTAAGCTAAAACGTCAAGAAGAGGCAAATTCGCGGACCGAACTCTGTTCGTACCGACGATTCGGAAACCTTCTCAGAGTGTCGTGGTTCCTGGAATAGGCCAGATTCAGAGAGCTGTTGCAGCCACGTTGGTTGTCGCCAGTAGCAAAATGAGGAGCAGATCGAATGGGATCAAGCAAGATCCTAACCACAGGGGTGAGGGTAAATAACTTATGTATGGACTCGAGTTTGGGGGTTTGATACAAATCGTTAATTCAAAACGAGTTAATTTTGCTGGAAGACAGGATAAAGCATAGTCGGATAAGAGCGTCAAGTACAGAGAGCGAGTGGGAGAGAGATATATAGAATGGAAATAGAAGGCATAGAATGCGATTGAGATAGACAGAGAAAAGGGAGGATAGAGGGAAAGAAAAAGAAAAGAGGGGGAGATAGAAAAGGAGACAGAGAGGGTCAAATGGTCTACTCGGTTTTCTGGTCGAGTCAATGCAATTGAATTCGTCTTGCTCTTATGCATGACTAAACGAAAATACAAGTCACCTGCTGTGAAGTAGAGCGACGCAAACCATTGATTAGGCTGCGCACACACCAAAACAGGAGG